GAAGATTGTAGAACTTGCTGGGTGGTGGGGTGGGGACATTAAAAGGGTCTGGGGAAATTTGGGCCCTTTTCTCAGGTTGATTTTACTTAACAGAACAGGAGGACCGAAGCACAGAACGGAACGAGAAGTTTTAACACTCAGTGTTATTATTACAGAGCAAACGGATTCTCTAAACACATCAAGGTTACCAATCAAAGCAAAATAATTGTAAAGAGTTTTATAAATACTGGAATATAACTTATAAATGGAAGAATACTTTTTTGTTTGTTTGTTTTTTGAGACAAGATTTCTCTGTGTAACAGCCCTAGCTGTGCTGGAACTAGCTCTTGTAGACCAGGCTGACCTAGAACTCACAAGTGCCTCTGGCTCCCAAGTGCAGGAATTAGAGGTGTGTACCACCACTGCCCTGCATTAGAATATTCTTTATTCTTGAAAATGAAAAATTCTGACACATGATGTAATATGGATATTAAGGATCCTAACACAAGTGAAATAAACCAGTCACAGACAGGCTCTGTGTATGTCTCTATAGGAGGATCCTAGAGAGCTCCAACTCAGAGGAGGGACAGTAGTGGCCACAGGGCTGGGAAGGGGAACGGGAGTGTTTATTTGGTGGGTGTGGGGTTTCAGTTTTTTGAGGTGAGGAGTCCCAGAGATCAGTTAGAAAGTAATGCAAATATACTCAACACCACTGTGCACTTAGAAATAGCTGAGAGGCTACACTGTGAGCTTCTTGTCACAATTCAAAAGAAAAGGGAAGGTGCAAGTTTCAGGATGGCTCAGGATAAGGAAAGCCCAGCGCTAAAAGGAAGCACGTTGCAAACTGGGACACTGAAATGCTTTCTAAAAATGGAAAAACAGAGAATGGAAACACCACAAAGTACAGCAAAACAAACAAACAAGCGGGGGTGACCCCAAACATAAAGTGATGTCGGCCTGGACTCCAGCTCAGCCTCAGCACCAGACAGAGCAGCTGCATGGAGATGAAGAAATGCTATTAACAAGGCTGACAGACCACTCCAGTCTAAAACTCACTAAAAGACCCAAAATTCAGACTCCAGAAGTAAACACCATTTCTTCTTTTCGCCAAGACAGTTTCTCTGTGTAGTCTGCTCTGTAGACCAGGCTGGCCTCAAACTCAGAGAGATCTACCTGCCCTTGCCTCCTAAGTGATGGGATTAAAGGCATGCGCCACCACACTCAGCTTAAAAACACCATTTCTAAACTCCATTTCCTGGGTGCAAATCAATGTTGTCTTCAATGTGGAGTCTGCTCCTAAGCTGTGCACCATGGAAGCTGAGCTCCAATAGAGCAGAGAAAGCATTAAATGGGGCTTCAGGAGCATGAGCCTCAAGGCAAATCTCTTTCCTAACAGCAGAGTGGGGCTTAATGGCTCACAGGGGGTAAAGATGCAATGCAGATACACTCTGCAAACCAAAGGGCTCCCCAAGCCTGGCACCTTCTGTTGCCACTACTACTAAATTGCTATTGACTATGTGGTTGTCATCATGCTCACCCCAGGTTCTCCAAATGTTCTAGAGAAGCTGCCAACATATGGGGTATAGATTTGAGATCCTACCATTTTCTTGGGTGTTGCCTACAGATGCTGTCTTAGATGGTCTTTCATCAGAGTTGACTAGCTGCTTTATTCAGCAAGGTGCTTCTTCCCATCAGTCTATGCCAATGGTAGCGCCACACACATTAGGAATAATTGTCCGTGAAGCACATGGGTTAAAGACCCTCTTCTGAGTTTTATCTGGGACTGACACTTCACTCCAGCCCTTGCTGGGCTGTATGACTGTGGGTGGTCTCACACACACACACACACAGAGAACAGCAGAGCCTACATCAACGAGGGTCAGTGGAGTGATGCAGGCTAAGGTCTAGCATGTTGCCTAGTTCACAGTGGACATTCAACACACATGTCAGTAGCTACAGGGAGAAGAGCAAAATATACCAGATCATCTGAGAATAGTTTAATACTTCTTCACTGTGTGAATCAAGGCATACATATGGAGGCCAGAGGACAAGCTGAGGGAGTCAGTTCTCTCCTTCCACTGGGTAGGTTCCTAGGATCAAACTTGGGGCTTTTACTTGCTGAGCCATTGCACCCACTCTTTCTAAAAGATGGGACTGTAGCCCAGGCCAGCCTCAAATTCAAGGTGATCTTTTTGCCTCAGCCTCTCAAGAGTCAGGTTACACTCATAAGCCTTCAAATATGGTAAATAGTGATCTTTAATCAACAAAAAGGAAAAAAAAAACTTTAAGTAAAAACCTCCAATGCAGTGGATTATTTAAAAAAATACCATGGGTTAATAGCCAAATAATTAACAGTAGTGTGGGGGGAAGGGGCTGTCATGCCGACAGATGCCTGCGGCAGTTTTAGGGTTAAGAAAGGTAAACTGCAGAAGATGAACACAACAGCTCTTTTCACACTTCCCTTCAAGTGGAGCTAAGACCGGAGAGTGGTGAGAAATTATTTTTAAAATCTCTGTATGTGGTGGGGGGGGGTGCACGCAGACAAGCGTGCACACGCACAGGCAGAGCAGGGTGTCCAGAGTCACCCCACCTCTCGTCTGATTCTCCCGGGACAGGTTCTCTATTTTGGTTTTAGTGGGGCTGGAGTAAGTGAGTGCCTGGAGCCACCTATCTACCTGGGGTCCACCTGCCTGTCCACCCAATGCACAGACTTCCATAATTGGCTTTTTCTGTGGGTGCTGAGGAGTCAGAGCAAGCTCTCTTGCCGCCCAAACCATCTCCCCAATCCTGAGAAATGCCATTTTCAAATTCTTATGCTTCTTTTATGAGATCTGCACACGTGCGTGCACACACATACACCAAATGGGAGATTTTTTTAAGCAGGTTAAAACCAAGTGTTTCATGGGACTTTGGGAGTCACCAAACTGAACATAGAAGGCGGTTAATTCTGCCAGCATGAGAATTTTCATGCCCAGCTGGCTCCTACGGTAGACTGTCACAGGAGAAGGGGACAAGTTATCAGCTCCTGCATGCAAGATCTCAGCATACCTAATCAGGTCCCTGCCACCAACATATCCCTAACACACAGGACAGCAGAGCTTCTCTGATAAATGTCAACTGAAATAGAGCAATCAGCTGAAAGCCATTTGCTGAGCTGTCTCACTGCCCTGGGCTCAGGCTTTCCTTTATTCGTTTATCATGATATATGGCTTTGGCCAACATACACACAGGAGAGAAATTGTTGACATGTGGAACCCAAGTACTGAAAATCTTTCATCCCCTCCACCCCCGTCTGTTCACCAAATAAGTTTTGTTTATTTAAAGACTACAGAGGATTTGGCTGTTAAGAACCAAATGCCTTTGGAGTGGAGTTACAACATAATTTATCATTTCCTCTGTTTATTAAAAAAATCCTGCATCTTTGAGCAGCACATTTGCAGTGAGAACTCCGCCATTCATGGAGCTAGAGATCCGCAAGCTGCAGCCCCTGCAAGGCCTGCCCCGCTCCCCTGGCTAACTTCCCACTCTTCCATCCTTGGCCCAATCCTAACCTTAAATTCTCACTGGCTGCTTTACAGCAGGTCCCACCAATGTGGGCAGAGGCAGCAGCAGGAAGGTCATTACATAGCACAGGCCAGCCTGGACAGGTCACAACCACCTAGAACTGGAACAAACCTTCCTGCTTGAGGCACTGTGAGGGCAACCAGCTCAGCACAGCAGCACCCAACAAACTGCTGCTGCCCACTAGATCCTTACAAGATGGCAGGTGGCAGTGGCTTCTTCTGGTTGACAACCTGACAATGCTGGGAGTGTGTCCTCGGAGTGGAGTCACACTTCCCAGCATCTTGCCCCATCCTACTCACCTGTACCCTTCATAGCATGCTTTCAAAGAAGACAGTAAACTACAACATCCTGGCTCATTACCCAGATCACAGAAGCGGCTGGGAACTAGGTTCATGTGGTCCCAACTTGTGACTATCATCAGGAATGGGACTTTTTTCAGGCTGAGTGCAGAACCTGTCTAAGGTAGTCACATCTCAGAACTGAGTCAGTACAGGACACCTGGTTGGTATCCAGTGGGGAAAGCTGCACATGTGTTACAGGAGTGTTCGTGACGAGCGTGTGAAGACAGTGGGAAAATGGTAAGGTTTTACCTGACATCACTGGTAGGAATAGACTTTGGAATCCGAGAAAAAACTTTTTATCCCTCCTCTGTTGCTTACTAGCTGTGTGGCACTGTTTGAGAAACTTAAAATGAAAATGAAAATGCTCCTTAGCCAGCCGGAGAGGCCCATGTCTTTAATCCAAGCACGGGGAGGCAAAAGCAGGAGGATCTCTGTGAGTTGTAGGGAATAAAAAGGAGAGGAGGGGAGGGGAGGGGAGAAGAGGGGAGGGGAGGGGAGGAGAGGGAAGGGGAGGAGAGAGGAGAGGAGAGAAAAAGAAAAAAGTCCCACTACTTCCCTACACCACTGTCTAGGGGATTCCTTACCTTAACACAGGCATGTTTGCTTCTATATCTGTAAGTGTAGGGTACACATATGTTTAGTTTCCTTGGAAGAATGCCTTAAAAGAGGTTAGCTCATGGTGGTTTTATTATAACTGAGTAAATAAAAAATGATTGTAGGAGAGGAAAAAAAGACTAACTGAACTTGACACTCAAAGCCATGCTAAGGGGAGCTGGCTTAGCAGAGAAAGTCATTTGGTGCCAAGCCTGAGAGTCTGAGTTCGAGTCTCAGGTTCCACAAGGTGAACGGAGAACTGACTCATGGGAGTTGTCTGACCTCTACATGAGCACTATGGCATGTGCATTCATGTGGGCACGTGTGTGAATGTGTATGTATACAGAAATACAAAAAAGAGGTGGGTCACAGCAAAGCACCTGTCTATCAGGAAGACAGGCCCTAGCCAAATGGAGCTCATTACCAAATAAATGTTGGCAGAAAGAGTGGAATGACAGAAAGAAAAGCAAAGCATTAGGTGGGCGGCTACCAATTTTCTTACAACATAAACACACAGACAACTTCAAGCGTTATTCTGTGTCATTCTCCTCAGTCAATTTGTCATTACAGACGAACAGAAAAGAAAAACAAAGGTTTACATATGAGGAGCCCATGAGCTCAAACTGGGGCTGAGAGCAGGGGCAGGGGCAGGGAGAGTGCCCAGGGGTGGGACCGATGCCACACTGAGCTCAGTCCTCGTGGAGCGGCAGTGGGACGACAACCCAGAGGCAAACACACTGCTCCTGGTGGCTCTCCCACCCAAACCACCCTCTTTCCTCTGTGGTTATTTTTCCAATTTATTTAGGTTTGCTCATTAGCAGTCAGAGTGAAGTCAAAGGAGTTGGAAATGAGGGCAGGGTCTGATTCAGGCCTGGAAGAAAGCAGTCTTGTGGTGACCTCAGAGTCAAGGTCACTGCCACACCAGATTCCAAGGAAACAAGAGATTCAGTGCGCCTCCCGGTGGAGCAGCAGTGACAGCCTCCTATGGATGAACAGGGGAGTGGCAGGCGTCAGCTGGTCACCTAAGGGGTGACCAGAAAGTGACTGCTGACTTTCATCCAAGGAGTTCTTTGGTCTTTGCTGCCAGGTGCCTGTCCAGCTCTGTGACTGTGTCGTCGGCCATCTGGCTGATCTGCAAAAACAAAAGCAAAGTCTGGTGACTGAAACACGCAAACTTCACTGAGAAATAATGATGGTAACAAAGTTCCTATGAACTGAGTGTCACCCGGGCACTAAGAAATGTGTTCTCAACAACAGTCAGGCAAGGTAGATGAGATTATTCCCTTTTCAGATAAAAAAACAAGGCAGATCATTTATTCAGAGTGCACAGTCAGAAAGCCATAGTATCAAACTTTAATACACAGTAACCTGATTCTATAAGCCAACATTTTAAACTGCTATACAATACAGAAAAGCCAGCCAAGCTGCCACCTAATAAACCTTCAGGGCAGTGGTTCTGACACTTCCCAACGCTGCTCCTCGCGTGACTGTAACCCCCAACCATAAAGTTATTTCGTTGCTACATCATAACTGTAATTTTGCTACTGGTATGAGTCGTGACGTAAATATCCGTTATGTGACGCCTGTGGAAGAGTTGCTAAAGTCCCAAAGGTTGAGAACCATTGCTCTAGAACGCCGCACACTTCCGCTACTCCATTTCAGAGTCTTAGATAAACTGACAGAAAGACTATAAGACCCCAGAGCTAGAAAATCCAATAGACACAAAAATGCAAATTACAAGATACACCTTCAGCTGTCATTGTTAACAAAACTTGTTGCTATAGCTTCTAATTACAACATTCAGAAACTGCACACTACAGTGATAAGCTCCCATATCACAGGTAGAATTCAAATTGATGCAAATGATCATACTATTTAATCCCCAAATATCTCAACTGGGAAATTATCAAGCGAACATGACCCGAACATAAATTTCTTCTCTTATTCTAGTTATTTATGTATGGGTGCTTTGGCTACGTGTATGTTCACGCACCATGTGTGGAACTGGGGCCTGAGAGGCCCAGAAGAGCGTGTGAAATTCGCTGAGCTGGAGCTATGGAGAGTTGTGCCCACCATGTGAGGGCTGGGAATCTAACCTGGATCCTCTGGAAGAACAGCCAATACTCTTAACCACAGAGCCATTTCTTTAGTTCCAAGTTGTTTTTTTTTTTTAGTTTTTATTTTATTTATATGAATGTCTGTCTACATGTATGTGCCTGATACCTGGATGTCAGATTCCCTGAAACCAGAGTATGAACCACCATGTGGGTGCTAGAAACCAACCCCGGGGAGAACAATGAGCGCTCTTCATCAATGGACAACTTTCCAGCCCTAGCCTCCAGATTCTTAAGTTCTAGGTATAAAGATGTCTATGTGTATGTGTGTGTGCCTGCATGAGTTTATGTGCACTGCATTGTAAGTGTAGGTACTGAGGAGGTGATAAAAGCTGGTCAGATTGTTAGGAACTGGAGTCATGGGAGTGAAGAGCTGCCTGAAGTGGGTGATGGGAACTGAACCTGGGTCCTCTGTAAGAGCAGTACGCACTCTGAATTGTGGAACCAACTCTCCAGCCCCCTTCCCATACCAACTTAATTTTGAATAATGAAACTAAGTAGAAAATCTAAAGTTACAGTATGGGAGAGCAAATGAACACATACAGGCATTACAATGGTTGTGTCAAATTCTAGGGAGAGAAAACACATTTGATTAAGACCCTAGCATGGGTTACATTTGTAATAATAAAAAGCATGTTTGAATAATGCTTCAAGATATTCTTACATCTTGGAGGCATGTTCATGCTTTCCTTCAAGTAAAAAATAATTCAACATAGAAACTTTCATTAGATAAATATATATAGAAGAACTAATCTATAAAATATCTAAACAAAAATTACAGACTTTAAAAAAATAAGCTGAGGATGGTGTTGCATGCCTTTAATCCCAGCACTTAGGAGCCAGAGGCAGGTGGATCTTTGTGAGTTCAACGCCAGCCTGGTCTACAAAAAGAGTTCCAGGACAGCCAGGGATATACAGAGAAACCCTGTCTCAAAACAAAACAAGCAAACAAAAACACCACTACCAAGAAACTAAGACACTTGCCAAAATCTTTTAACTTTTATTAAACATTTTTCATAATATCTTCCTTCCCCTACCTACCAAAATTCATGTTCTTTCTCTCCCCCTTTTACCACTCTCTCAAAAAAGAAAAAACTAAAAAATCAAAACAAACTAATAAAAGAGAGAGAAGAATAAAAAGAAAATCAATAAGACAAAAAACAAAAAGAAAATGTGTACCCCCCACCCCAATTTAGTGCTGCCTGGCCAATCACTCCTGGACATGGGGCATCCCTCCAGTGTGGCTGATACACCCAGTGACACTCCATTGGAGAAAACAGATTTTCCCTTTTCCAGAAGTATCAACTGCTTCTTGGTTGGGCGGCGAGGGGCTGGGGGGGGGGGGGGTTTTGTTTCCCCCCTTTTTGTGCGGGGTTTTTTTTTTGTTTTTCGCCCTGGGGGGGTTTTTTTGTGTTCTTTTTTTGTTTCT